CCAACTAGTTTTCTCTATAAGGTTTACTAGATTCTAACGTAAAATCCTTCCACCTGGTTGCTCGTTTGGGTAAAGCTGACAAACACTTGTTAACGGATGATGTGAAATTGGGAGGATTTTCCAAATCCCTATATGAGTACATTTATCAATTAAATAATGTTGCTAGAGTTCAGTACATCCATCTGAAACTCCATGTTAAATGTTTATAAGTAGATATACGTAGTTGACCTCAAAAGCAGAGGAATATGAATTATGGCTCTAATTTTTTGTAGGCTGTAGAACTTAAGACAGAAAATTACTATTACAAGTAGCTATTCTGTCCAGTGGCGCAGCCAGAAACTTCGTTCGGGGGGGGGGGGGCGAATCAGTGACGCATCGAGAAAACATACATTGAGGGTTCAACTAAAAGCGCTGTAAACAAACTGCAGAAACAGAAAAATTATTTTGGGTGCCACGCCCAAAAAAAGCCTTTTCAGGACGAGAATTATTATTTATGCACAATTACAAAATAATTGAAATATAATATTTTTAAAATCCTACCTAGGTGTGCCCGAACTAAATCAAATACTTGTTTAATACATTGGGTTTAACATTTATTATTGATTTCCAAATTTTAAAAATATATTAAGAAAATGAGAGATATTGGGTCAAAAGAATAAAAGTACAAAAAAAAATATAAACAAAAATATTTAATGCAAAACTACGTCCTAAAGCAAAATTCTTCGTTTTGTTTTTGCCATTTCGTCCAAAATTTCTTCTGCTGTAATGACAATATCGTGGTTTGCGTAAAGGACTGCCAAACCATTTAGCCTATTCTCTTGCATAGTGCTACGCAAATAATTTTTCAAATATTTTAAATTTGAGAAAGATCTTTCGGATGTTGAAGTTGTAATTGGTAAAGTTAAAAAAATTTGAAAGAGTCTTTTTATGTTTGGAAATATAGTGGAATCACATTCAGAATAAACTTTGGCCAGATCTTCCTTCAGGTTCTTATTTTCGCATTTTTTGTACCATAACTCAAGTTCAGCTTTTAATATAGTTTCGTTACAAAAACCTTCAAGAAAGTCATGCATTTTGTAAAAGCTGTGGAGTTCCAAAAAACATTTATATTGGCTTTTAAAGTTCTGGTTATTAAAAGGAAAGAGACATTCAAAATTTTGAATTGTTTTTCGATGGTTTAAGAACCTTTCTTCGAGATTTACTATCAAGCCATCTAAAAACGGAATAAAAATGGTGATTTTAAAATATTCAGAAGCAGATTCGGTATTTAAAACAAGTCGTTGTGTTTGTCGTGCTGGTACTCTGGGCATCTTAATTTCTATATCGAACTCCGAAAGAAGATCTTGAGCTTCTTTAAAAATATTTTTAAAATGCTCATCTGCCTGGCTTCGTATTTGTTTAAATTGATCTGCCACATCATCTGCTAGAGCCAACGCTTTACAAAGATTAAGGTCAATCGTTTGCAGTATTTTACTCAGAGGTAGCGTATGAGCGTACAATCTTTTTGAGCACATCAATGCAATGGTAAATTTAGAAGTTTTGATGCTGGCTAGTAATCCAGATGCCTCAGTTGAAGTAGGACGATCTGGCCATTGTTCTATTTCTTCCAAAGCTGCCACCAGCGGTTTATAGAGTTCTTCAAATATCAAAACAGCATCATGCCTTGCTACCCATCGAGTAGGACATAATCTTTTTAAGCCATGCTTTTTTGTTTCCGTACATAATAACTCAATTTTTTGGTGCAAAACGTTCTCCCTTTTGGGGGAGTTAAAAAGCAATATGCTTTTTCAATTGTTCCTAAGCAGTTTCGTATTTCTGTTACATTAGATAAACAAAGGTTTAAATTATGTGAAGTGCAGTGTACATACGTAGCCGCAGGAAATTTTTCTGAAATTAACTTTTGAACGCCTTTAGTATTCCCGGACATAGCAGCTGCTCCGTCATATCCCTGTCCACAAAGGTATTTACAGTTAACTTCTAGTTTATCTAAAGTTCCCAGAATATTCTCAGCTATAGAAGCGCCAGTAGTAGAAGTAATTTCGACGAATTGTAAAAATTTTTCATGAATTTGATCTTTCCTGTCGACAAATCTAACACATATTGATAACTGTTCTTTATTTGATACATCCGCTGTTTCATCGGCTAATATAACGAACGCTTTCGCGGCGTTAAGTTCTTCTACGATTTTTTGGATAACTAGTCGATTGCATATTTCCAATATTTGATTTTGGATGTCTCAACTCAGATATGTGGCATTGCCTCCACAAAAATTCAAATGATCCAAAAGGGCTTGGTCTCCAGCTTCAGCTCTTAGCCTTAATATATTACGAAAGTTACCCTCGCTTCTGTTTAGGTCAGAATGCAAGTCCAAAGATCCGTAATCTTTATGTCCTCTTAATGGCAGTCCCATTCTTCCACAAAAAAGTATTGTTTTAATAATTGGTGTCAGTCGCTGCCGATTTTGTTGTATTATCAATTCAGATGACTTGGTTAATAACTTGTCTATAGAATAACCGGAAAAACTTTGTTTTAAATTATCTGCGCGAAGTACTGAAAACCTGTGATATTGTGCCCCTCCATGAGCTTCAAATTTTCCTATTGCTTTTTTCCATCCCCGAAAAGGCTCTTTTACTAAAGCTCCAAGAATCTGGCTAGTATTATGACCGGCAAATGATGAAGAAAATAGAACACAGTATTTACAATAGGCCCCATCTTCTATTTTTGAATATGTTAACCAATTATATTTCGTCAGCCACACAGCATTAAATTTTCGTTGATGTTGTCCTTGTTTTTCTAAAGGAAACACAAAATTCTTAGGTGGAGTCCAAAATCTTTCGACTAATTGTAGTTTAGTCTCATCGTCTACCTGGTTATGTACAAAGTTAGCAATATCATACTTGTCGTGAACTTGGTTATTCTGTGAAGTCATTGACGAAGAGGCTTCGCATTCTAATCTGTTTTCTTCCGATGTTTTTTGTAGAGGCAGCAATGAAACATGTTTATCATTATCTAATTTGTTTTCTGTCAAGGCTGATGCGGTGCATTGCAGAGATGTCGATACTGTCGATGAAACTATATCACTATCTTCAGCTAGCCTTGGTTTTTTTAGAAAGTTCCATAGTATATTCGAACTTCCTTTATGTTTTGGATTTCCTCTGTTTTCCATCTCGTAAAAATGTATTTACGCTGCAATCTGCAATTAAAAAAATGTCTTAAGGACCTTAAGGTTAACCTACACTTGCGTTCACAAATTATAATTGCATAGATATCAGTGTGTCGTGTTTGATACAGTAGTTGGTGCAACAGGCTTCAGCCTAGAGTGATTTTTTGATACGGGTTCGAGTCCGGCCAAGTGCAATTTTTTTCTTTTTTTTTTGTTAGTTTTACCGGTAAAAGTGCGATTTATAAAGGAAAAGTGTTTACTTCTTTTAAATTCGTTTTTTATTAATTAAATATGCGGGCATTAATTGTCCTTGTGAAAGCCAAAAAGCCGTTGTATATTTTAATGGGCTTAAGGCCGTGCTGGCCGATGGCATTCTTCGCCTTTTGCCTAGTGTAAAAAAGTTTAAACGCTTACATTTTAAAAACTTCAAAACTTTTAATCACGTCTCACGTGTGAAAAAAATATTTAAATATAAATAAAACTAACCTGAGAACTTGTCGATAGGTTTTCACAAATTATTTAGCTTTACACTGTCCCTAAATTAAACAGTTGCTTTTAAAACAATAACAAAACTAAATACCACATGTGCACCTGTAACGATTGCTTCTGATCATCTGATATTTCAGTCGACAGTGGGCTGGAGACTGAAGACTGGAGGTAGGCCATGGTAGGCCGACAGCTTTGTGCATTGTTGCCGAGTATAAAAATTGCGTACTGCGGCCAGATTACGTGTCTTTGCATTGGTTCACGAGTCCACACATATTGGTTCAATGGTACTACAGTTTTTGCTGGACGGAAAAGATATTTATTTTTAACATTTATTATTGGTTTCCAAAAGAAGTTCTTAGATTTTAGATGATTTAAAAACAGTACCAATAGTACCAATCAGACATTAATGTTATGTTGGTTGCATAATGCTAGCAGTTAATTGTATAATAAGGGGCGAGAGGAACAAATATATTTAAATTCGGTGTCTAGCGGCGTAGGGGAAAGAGGAGTAAAATAATTGATGTATTGGCGTATAATAATGTTAGTTATTTTCCAACAGTGTTCATTGAACCTTTTCTCTAATTTTTGCTTTTCATCAGCATTTTAATTTTTTATGAGTCATGCACAAAGAGCATTGATCCTTCTTGGAGATATGATATGTTTAAAAGACGGCTTATAATGACCTTCTGAAAGGGATTGTAAATACAGGTAATTCATTTTAAAAACAGACAGATCATTGTGAAGATATTCTCTGCTTGAACTGCTCCTGCATTTTAGGAAATTTGTAGGGATGCCACTGGCTAAGTGACGCTTTTACAGAGAGAGTCAACCTTTCAAAACGGTTTAACTAAAAAATGGAGTACTTCTCCATAGAATTGGCAGATCCAATTATATGTCGGTCGAGGAGTCACAACTTGAGTACACAATAAAGTGGGACGGCACGGTTTAGTTATTTACATGCGTTTATTAAATACAGTTATAGTTTTATAAATGCAAACCTGGTCACAAATACATTTTAAGTTACAAAAATATCACTGGGTTACAAAACAATCATTACCGGTGCACTTGTAAACACGAGTAACATATTAGGAGTAAAGTGAATATTTAAATTGCAAGAATCTTACGCCAAAAGTTAGTTTATTTTAATATTTTTTGTGACGGAACGACGGATACGTTACGGAATCAAGTATACATCACGAGATCTTAAGGATCTTAACCTCAATCATCAGATTTCTTTTGGCTTTTAGTGACAGTGTTGTGTTTTGTGTTGAACACGTGATTATTATATCCTTGATTTTAGATAATATTTTAGTAATATTGCAATTGTACCTAATTCATTGTAACTAAAATGAGCGACGAGAATGAAAATACGTGTTACAAATGTGGTTATTGCAGATGGATATTTGCAGACCACTGTGAAAACTATCTCCTGCACACGTGTTTTCAAAAATTTTCTTTTGAAAATGGCGAAGAGTTAGTAGCCGATGCCGATGAAATTTTAAGTGTGGGTAAGGTGATTTCCAATTATATTTATACGTATAACTAATACATATTATTTATCTAGCTTCCAAAGAAGGGGACATATTATCTCCAAACCCAGTAGATGCTTCCGGGGATTTGGACGAACAACTTATATCATTAGTGGCTTCAAGAAAAGCTTTATTTGATGCTTCGTTGCCACTAATTGAAAGGACATATTTCAAAAAAAAAAATTTGTGGAATGAAGTGGAAAATAATTTAGGAGGCCAGATGAAGCAAGACGATATAAAAGCAAGATGGAAATATCTTCGTGACTGTTATATAAAAGCCAAACGAAAGGTCACAACCTACAAGGCGAGTGGTTCAGGAGCAACCAACACAAAAGTTGGCTTTCGTTTTTTTTTGAAACCATGCGTTTTTTAGATGATACTTTGGCAAGGAAAAGTAGGTATTGTTAAAAAAATAATTATAATTTTAATGTCATACTGGTTTTACAGTGTAACATGCTCAACAAGTATTATGGAAAACAGTCCCAGTGCCAGTGTTTCCACGCAAAATAGTACATGGGATGATAATATGTCAAATAATGGAAATAGCCAAGGAAATAGCCAAACCCCAAGTACGTCCACGGTTGCAGAAAACCACAATCAGGCAACAAATTCAGTCAGTACCATCTTTATTAAAAGTAAGTAAAATTTCCTGTTTTTTACAGTGAAAATAAAATAAAATGTTGCAGAGAAAAAATGTTGCATAAAGCAATTACCCAAGTTCTAACTGAAGACAGGACTCCGTTGCAAGTATTAGATGGTTTTTTGCTTCGGGTTGGTGAGGCACTGAGACGCTTTCCCTATCGGCTACGGTCTCAAATGGAGATTAGCATTCTGCAAATGTTACAGGAAGCAGAAGAAAATTCATTGATACAAAAAAACTTAATAATAATAATACTGAATTGGTTTTGTCTTTTTTATTATATATTTAGGCAATTTACTTTTCAAAATATTTAAACTATTATTGACAATGCAAAAATTTTTTGTTAATGGCAATTAGCAGGTGTACCTTCTATATAGCATTGTCATTAAGGTACTAAGATTAACCAAAGTTAAATATTTTTCTGTACAAAGTTGTTTAATTGTTATTATAGTCCATATTAAAAAGATTAGACAATTTATTTAATACATTTAATTTATACAGTAAAAAATTATTTTAAACATTAAAAATCATTTTGTAATATTTGAACCCATTGACTAGGCATTATATCAATGGTTTCAAAATATTCTGCAAAACTATCTCTAAGTTGGGCAGCATTTCGTGAATGTGCATTACTTCATGTCTGCCTTATATCTTGAAGTGCCGATGCTGGCACCTCTCTATCTTCTCTAGTGAGAACCCCATACTTTTTGCGATTACTGGGCTTTGCTGATTCTTGCTGCATTATGTAGTTGTGAAGACATACTGTTGCTTGAATTATTTTTATAGTGGTTGAAACACTAGAAATAATAGGCTTTAGGTATATCGGCCGACGTGCTGCAAGAATGCCAAAAGCACATTCAACTGTTTTTCTTGCACGACTCAGGCGATAGTTGAAATTTTTTTGTCTTCTATTTAATCTACTACTTCGAGGATATGGTCTCATTAAGTATGATCTCAATGCAAATGCTTCATTACCTATGATTACATAAGGTAATTCTTTATTTAGTTCAGAGACATATTCAGGATTTGGTATATGAAATTTCCCTTCTTCCAAACCTTTTCCTACTATGCTATCCCGAAATATGCCACTATCACTTAGACGTCCTTGAGCACCGATGTCCACCATAATAAACTGTGATGTTGCACTTGCCACAGCTAACAGGTTAATACTATGGCAGTTTTTATAATTGTAGTACTCTGAGCCTGAATGTGGAGGTGCCTAAAATAAAACTTCTGTTAATTTACTCCTAAACAAAACTAATGTATAATAACCTGAACAGTAACATGTTTTCCATCAATTGCCCCTATACAGTTTTTAAAATTGGTTATGGTATGAAAGTCTCTAGCATCTTTTTTCCAATTTTCTTCTGAAAAGCATGGAAAAACTTGTTCCCTTAAGGAATCCCATAATGCCTGGCATGTTTCAGCTATTATAACAGACACAGTATTTTTTCCAATTCGAAAATCGTAAGAGCAAGAAGTCATGCTTAGACCATCAGCCAAATAACGTATAGTTACTTCTAATCTTGTTTTCGGTGGTATACAATCTCGAACCATATTAGACTTAAGTAATTTCGGTCCAACAAGTGCCAACAGTCTATTGAAAATAACTGGAGTCATGCGTAAAAAAATTAAAATATTTTTCGGGATCATTGAGTTGCATTTCTAATAATAAATTGTCACTATGTCCATATTCAAACCTTTTTTCAACAGAGAAAATAGGTCTGACCCAATATTTTCTTTTTTCTTTATTTTTTAATAAATTATGCAAACGCAGTAACCTGGTTATTTTAAGATGTAATGTTTGCTTTTGCAACGGCAGTATACATCTACGTTTGCGAATACACAGTGCTGAAATCACCAACATTAAATCACTGGACTTCATTCTTTTAACAATTTTAACTCTTAACCTATGAATTAAATAATATGAAATAAGAAATGATAATGAATTGGCAGATACGAAAGAGGAAATTTTTGTTTGGTTTCTATATTTTGAGATTATGTTCCGCAGTTTATATTTTTACATTTTCCGCTCTTGGAGACAGATAAAATCCAAAGCGCATTCCGCGATCTGTATATTCGCTTCTTTAGTTACGCACGTGGGGACTTACCCTGAACCTTTCGTCCGTCGTACCCAAAGCGCGAGAGAGCAAATCTCAAGAGCCATCTGTCCAGGTGGTACTAAAGTTACATAATTCTTAATGAATGGACAAGTAAAAGGTTCTGAAATTGTAAAATCGATAATTTGACCACATGCACCCTCTTTGCTGGATAGATGTCACCATGAGTAGTTTTTATAAATATAAATACAAGTTTGAAAGGAGTGGGAAAATGATTTTGTTACTCTGTTCAGGGAATCTGAACTAAATCTATTTATATGTTCATCTGTTTCACTGCACACTATTTCTTTGAATAACGCATTCAGACTTACGACTATCCCTTTTGTCCAGTTCAACAACACATATTTCACTAGTTTTTTGAAAAGCAGTCCTCGCCACATGATCTGAAAAACAAAGAATTTTTAATAATAAGGTCTTACATACTTGAATCATATTACATAATTACTGACAAGTAATAACGAATAATTTTTGTCGACGTGACTCTTAACATTTTGATGTCTTTTGCTTTGTGTTTCTACAGTCGTATCTCAAAAACTGCATTTTTTTAAGATACGTCACTGTGTGAGATTGAATACAATTTGAGAGTACTTTGACTTATACTTAGTCACTATTCACTAAAAAAACTTATGGAATTGTAACTTGGATTTCCACTTTCGTTGAATAGAGTGGATTGCCTTTTAAGTCTCCTCTGTTCATGGATATTCATTAAAATTCACATTGCATTATCCACACCCTTAGTTTTCATACATCAATCTTTAGGTATTAACTTTTTAATATATTCAAAATACGTATCGGAACTCGTTTAAAATGCCAGTAATTGATAAAGGTTTTCATTGTTTCGTTGTCTGCCTTCTTGCAAAACTACACTCTCGATCAAAATTCTTCTTAAAGCTTTATATAAGGACTATAACATCATTCATCTTCTTGAAATATATATAAAAAAAATTAACTTTATATTTTATTGGAATTAGATAGTTTAGGTATTTCGGAAATTCCGCAAAAATAAACACTTTTTTACTTTGGGTGGAACTTTGGTATGAACTACTTCATTGAGCAACACATTTTTACAACAAATGCATAAAGTAGAATACAGTGGTGTAAACTTTTGTTTCCTATTTCTTGGCTGCTCCCTGTTTTTTAGCTGCTTCCTGCTCCTTAGCTACATTCTGCTTCATGGCTGATTCATGCTTGACTGCTTTAGCATCAGTCCATTTTGAATGACCAGGCACGGATCCTTAATCAAAACTGAACAACCTCTAGAAATATTCTGTGAGTCAGCGTAGAAGGTACAGATGCTGCCTCTAGAATTATTTCTGGATTAAACGGGTGAATTCCAGTTGCGCTAAATTCACTCTGGATATTAGATATCATCATATCCTATTGCCAAACTTTGTTAAAGATAAGTCCAAATCGTTCTTTCTTCAAAGTTCTTAATGCATTAAGGTTCTTTTCCCAGTATTTTAACAAGTCAACGTCCCAATGATGTTCAAGAACGGCAAAAGGAATTTTCTAATGGTTGCATTTCATTTGTAGAATTAGACGGCAAGTGGTAAAGATATAGTAACGTTCGGTGGTTTCAACTATGGTATAATCTAAGTGACACGAGGCAGCATCAACGATTAAAAGCACTTTGCCTGCAGTTTTGTACTTAGCGTAATGTTCTAACCATTTTACAAATATTTCCCTCGTCATCCTTCCCTTAGGAGCCATTTCCATCACAGATCCATGCGGCGTATTATCACTATAGGTTTCCTTTTTCTCATACCTTTCAATATTACCATGGGCGGTACAGCTTGCCCTAATGTCCTAACATAAATAACTACTACTGCATTTTCTGCGTACTCATTACTAATTATATAAACTTTTCGTTCACCTTTTGGGGTTAAGACTGCTTGTTAATGATGTAAAGTCAACCTACAGCTTTTCTCGTCAAGACTATAAATCCTTTCTGGCGCATTTTTTAACCCCAATTCATTGAGATGTCTTATTTTTTTAAAATGATCTTTTACAATGGATAGGTTGAGTTTTTGAGCTCGCGCTATATTCATTGATTGTGCTTTTCTTCTGGAAATATTCGGATGTCTCCTTAAGAAACTTTTGTAACATCTAAATCCAGTTATTTCTTTGGCACTGTTGAATTTGTGTGGCATGTCATTACTTACCAAAATTTACTCACAGATTTTGGAGTCAATGGCACTCCGACACGAGACATTCTTACAATTCGTGCTTTGAGGTTTCCTTCTTGAACAGAAAGTAAGCCATTCCTTTTAGAACTGCCAGTTTTCAGATTATTTCTTAAGATAGTCCTAAGAATTCCGCAGTTATGCTCGACATCTCTTTGACTTTTACCTTGCCTAAGAAGTTCTGAAGCCTCGGCCATCATATCTTCTGTCCAGTTTCCTCGTATTCCTCTACAAGGTTTCCCCAGTTTCTGTCGAAACAAATAAAAATAATAATTTTAAGAAGAATTTAGACTGGTTAGAAATATGGCCCAGCATAAGGTTGTTATGGGCCAAATTTTCGTCCGTGGACATTTAGAAGATTAAGGTTAGATTTTCGTCAAAAACTTAATATTCATTAGAAATTGTACCATGCCTAGGAGTCCTATATAAC